AAAAGAAATAGAGAATATATCAAAGCTAAGAATAAAATAAAGACCCAAGTTGAAAATAACAGATTACAACAACTCGGATTAACGGAAAATCTACAAACTCTATTTCAACCCATATTAAAATCTCAAGAGGATATTAAAAGGAAATTAGAATATAAACCTCCTATAGAACCTACACCTCCTATAGAAGGAGTGTTATAATTAGAACATTAGATGATATAAATCGTCTTGTTTCAAACCCTGACCCAGATTTACCAAAGAGCATTTCACCAATCGTTGATAATAAAGGTTTATTGTTTAATGGATTTAGAATTATATTTAGTGGAAATTCACCACAATTCAAAATCGACACAAAAGATTACGTATACACATTAACGAAAGGATTAATAGATTTAATGAATGGCGAGGATGTTGGTATTGCCGATTATAAGGATTTAGTAGCATACTCCAAATTTCTAGATGCAATAAGAAAATCAGGACCCGAAACAAGAAGATCGAAACATTCAAACATCCTGGGGAATTCGACACAATGTTGAAAACAGGTTTATATCCTAAAGATTTCGATTCAGTCTCAGGTTGGATACCTGATGTTGGTGATGGAAGTATTTTAAAAGAACCGGTAAGAAATCTTGCAAATGATGCCGATTTAGCTAGAGTGAGAGTTGTTGATCGAAACACGATAGAAAGAGTAGGACGAGCAGTTAATCATGGATTCGAAAAACGAGTACTTCAGTATAATAATGTTGTTGAGAATAATAGGTGGGGTAATTACGTAAATTGGAAATTATATCCTTTATTCGGTCTGTTGGAACATAGAAAAGTTTCCATAGGCTTACAATATAAAATTCATCTACAAAGAGAAATCAACGACGATAAGATATTCTTTGGAGAGAATGCAAAAGAAGGTGGATTTATATTTTCCCTACCTTTAGTATTTAGTGGACTTATTGCAGCCGGTACAATAGCTGGTGCTGCAGCTGATGGAGTAAAAGCTGCCAACGATAAGAAAGCAGATGAAGTAACAGCTGCTGCCAACGCAAAGAAAGCAGCCGAACAACGTAGACATAATTTAAAAATGGAAAAGTTGGCCGAAGGTTCAGGAGTGGGAGAAATGATAGGCACAATGAAAGAATTTGGAAAAAGATTTAGTGAAGAAACCAAGAAAACTGTTAAACAAGGATTAAATAAATTAGTAGATAGTATTGACACGGGAGAAATCAAAGTCAAACATAAGGGTAATGGAATATTTTTAAAAAATATACACACTGGAGACGGAATATATCTTTCGAAGTATAAAGGAGAAGGAGTGTTTTTTGGAACAAATTAAAATAATAAAAAATGGGTAAAAAATTTAATCATTCAGAAATATTTCCTAATAACCCAATGCTCATGTGTATATGCGTTAGTTCCGGTTCTGGGAAAACTCATCTCACTTTTAACATGTTGACAACACCAAACCTTTTAGATTTCGATTCTTTGTATATCTACACAACAACACCAGAGCAATCGTATTATCAATTTCTCAAAGCTTTAGAATATCTACCAAAGAGAGATGTTCAAGACCTATTTCAATATTACGAAGAAAACGAAGAAAAAGTGGAATTAAAAGATTTCATAGATAACTACATCGAAGGAAAGAAACCAACGGATATAAAAGTTTTTCTTGCGAAAAATGTTAATGATCTAGATTTGTCTCAAATTGATAGCGAGCGAAAGAACTTAATGTTGTTTGACGACTGCGTGGCGCAAAGAAATCAAGCCGTTCAACAAGAATTCTTCACGAAAGGAAGACATCACAACTGTCACTGCATATACCAAACCCAATCTTTTTACGGGATGGATTCTATGTTCATTAGAAAAAATGCAGATTGTTTTTTATTATTTGAATTAAACGACAAAGATTTATCTCAAATCGTTCAATCGATAAATCACGGAATGGACAGAGAGGCATTTAAAAAGGTTTGTAAAGCTCAATGGAGATATCCAGATGATCATGGATATGTATTTGTAAATACTAGAAAACCTGCGGGTGAAAGAGTTATGAACGATATATGTTAATTTTATTTTTTTAAAAATGGATTGGAATAATATTTTAAAAAGAAATAGAGAATATATCAAAGCTAAGAATAAAATAAAGACCCAAGTTGAAAATAACAGATTACAACAACTCGGATTAACGGAAAATCTACAAACTCTATTTCAACCCATATTAAAATCTCAAGAGGATATTAAAAGGAAATTAGAATATAAACCTCCTATAGAACCTACACCTCCTATAGAAGGAGTGTTATAATTAGAACATTAGATGATATAAATCGTCTTGTTTCAAACCCTGACCCAGATTTACCAAAGAGCATTTCACCAATCGTTGATAATAAAGGTTTATTGTTTAATGGATTTAGAATTATATTTAGTGGAAATTCACCACAATTCAAAATCGACACAAAAGATTACGTATACACATTAACGA